TTTGTCCTCTCTCTGGGTCTCCTTTTCACCTTCTGAGGCACAGATTTTTGTTTTTATTTTTGTTTTCCAAGACAGAGTCTCGCTCTGTTGCCCAGCCTGGAGTGCAATGGTGCCATCTTGGCCCACTGCAACCTCTGCCTCCCGGGCTCAAGTGATTCTCCTGCCTCAGCCTCCCAAGTAGCTGGGATTACAGGTGCCTGCCACGGCGCCCGGCTAATTTTTATAGTTTTGGTAGAGATTGGGTTTCAGCATCTTGGCCAGGCTGGTCTTGAACTCCTGACCTTGTGATCCACCCGCGTTGGCCTCCCAAAGTGCTGGGATTACGGGCGTGAGCCACCGCCCTGGACCAGAACAGATGTTTTAAATTTTGCTATAGTTAAGTTAATCCATTTTTCTTTTATGTTTATTAGCACTTTTGTGTACCACTCAATAAATCTTTGCTTACTACACAGTCACTATGATGTTTACTTATGCTTTCCTTTAAAAGTGTTATCGTTTTACCTTCATATTCATATCTGTGATTGCTATATAATTTTTTTGTTATGTTTTCTTTTGAGACAGTCTTGCTGTGTCGCCCAGGCTGCAGGGCAGTGACACAATCTTGGGTCACTGCAATCTCTGCCTCCCGGATTCAAGTGATTCTCTTGCCTTAGCCTCCTGATTATTGGGACTACTGGCGCCCGCCACCACGCCTGGCTAATTTTTTTGTATTTTTGGTAGAGACAGGGTTTCGCCATATTGGCCCGGCCGACCTCAAACTGCCAGCCTCAAGTGATCCGCCCTCCTTGAGCTCCCAAAGTGCTGGGATTACAGGCATTTATTTTCTCACTAGTTTTTAAGCAGTATAACTCTTGGTGGGGCGTGGTGGCTCATTCCTGTAATTCCAGCCCTTTGTGGGGCTGAGGCAGGTGGATCACAAGGTCAGGAGTTTGAGACCAGCCTGGCCAACGTGGTAAAACCCTGTCTCTACTAAAAATAACTAGCTGGGCATGGTGGCATGCGCCTGTAATCCCAGCTACTCGGGAGGCTGAGGCAGGAGAGTCGCTTGAATCCAGAGAGGCAGAGTTTGCAGTGAGTCAAGACTGCACCACTGCATTTCAGCCTGGGCGACAGAGCGAGACTCTGTCTCAAAAAAATATATATATAACTCTTTTAGGGGACACATATTTTGAAAAGCTCATTTGTGACCGGATCTGATTGCTAGCTAGTGTTACCCATCTTCTGTGGACCTGGCATGGAAAGCGCGTTGGGCATCCGTGTGCAGACCGTCCGGTTTATACAGCCTCTGCCGTGCAGCGTGGGCCTCTCTGCCGTGCAGCGTGGGCCTCTTGGTCCCCAGCATGACCTTACATGTAGGCCTTCTCTGTTCCCGTCACGCATCAGGAAAAGCTGTGCTGAGGAGAGGAGGAGATGGGGTGGGGAGGGGTGCTGAGCCCCTCGTCATTGCTTCTGAGGGAGTAGCAGGTTTCACCACAGTGGCCCGGGGAGGGGGAAGGGCCTCCTGGCTGATGGACCAGTGTGTGTTTTCCTCTTGCTGATTCTCCTCCCCTCAGAGGGCAGTTTTCTGTCACAGTATCTGAGCCTGTTGGTAAAACAAGCACCCAATCATAAGAAACAGAAAATAGAGTCTTCCTGTAACGTAGCCTAATTTTAGATGGTGGCTGTGGAAGGGAGCCACGCCTGCCTGTCACTGTGTAGGAAGGGGACTGATGCAGACAGGCAGACCAAGTTGAAGACCCTATCGGGAGGCTATGAAGTGGCGCACGCCTCCCGGTTTTGGTTTCTTTTTCGTTTTTCTTTTCCTTTTTTTTTTTTTTTT